AAAACAGAGCCACCTCACATGAATGATCTCTCAAGACCCCTAACATAAACATTACCTGTAATCTAAACATCTGTAACAGGTAGTTACTTGATAAAAATCAACACATTGAAATATTGTCCAAATAAAAATTCATTATGTTAAGCGAGTCTTTTCTTCTCTAGTGAAGCCATATTTTAGCAGGAAGACTAACAAGGTTCTTGCCTAATATTTTCTGCAAAATTAGCAGTTGTCATCTTCAAATATATTCCAGAGATTTAATTATTGGAATCAAGGCAGTTAGATTTTAAAATAAATGAGACATTAGTTAATTTAAACGTAATATCTCTTCGTCATAGCTCCTAATGTCTCCATGTTGCTACTATATCAAACTAATTGACATGTCTCTTCACCAGAATTTCTTTCAGTATAATAATGATAATAATAATAATAATAATCTTTATTTCTACAAGTACATGATACAACATACACAGACCTAGCTGACATCAATGACATACTATATAGAAAGCCCCTGGTTATGCAGAGCACTTCTGGCAACTTAGGTTGTGTCCCCAGGATGCAACCCAAACCAGTCGACTAACACCCAGGTACCTACTTACTGCTAGGCAAACAGGGGCAGTAGGTGTCTTAAGGAAACACAACCAATGTTTCCACCCATGCCTACCAACATGCTACCAACCAAACTATTGGACATGTGCAATAAATCAGGCCAGAGAGGTGGTGATCATTAGAAGAATCTTGAGATGGTTAATATACATCTTTCGTACTTGTTAATAGGTTTTGGGCATCAATGCTCATGCAGCTATCTCAAATACCCTTTAAATCTGACAGTGAATGACAAAGATAAGGACTATTTAGAAACACACGTTTAAACTGAATGTAAGAATCAAGTTTTGAAGGCTTACCCGTCATCCATGTTCTTGATGTAGAATGATAAAACCAAGAGTCCTGCCAAAGTGCAAAATGTTTAACAGGCTTCCGTTTAACCCTCATATGGCAGGAAGGTATACCCTAGTTGTGCAAGAAAGGTATAAAATACCGACAATATGAAAGTTAAGACACATGTGCAACATCTGGATATCTTTATTGTAGACGTTTCGCCATCCAGTGGCTTTATCAATACAGATTCTAGGACATAATAGGAAGACAGTAGAACTATATACAAAAGATGAGGTAATCAGTCCCTCGGCCTTGGAGTTAGTGTTCACAGCATCGTGAACACTAACTCCAAGGCCGAGGGACTGATTACCTCATCTTTTGTATATAGTTCTACTGTCTTCCTATTATGTCCTAGAATCTGTATTGATAAAGCCACTGGATGGCGAAACGTCTACAATAAAGATATCCAGATGTTGCACATGTGTCTTAACTTTCAAGGTATACCCTAACTGAAGTAAACTGAAGGTTCTTTTCTACCAGCCAACTGCTAGGCATGCATACTCCATTCTTTTTAAACCTACCTCATCCACCTCAAGCCCATTCCACCATCATCAAACCTACTCCATCCTGGAAATATAAACACATATGCAGTATAATGTGATCCTTTATTGACAACGTTTCACCCACACAGTGAGCTTTTTCAAGTCACAAACAGATCTACCTGGGTGGAAGGTACAAGAGCATTTATAGTCAGGTTGAGAATGCTGGGTCAGGTGGAGAGTTCATCGACCTTGTTGAACTATGTGTTGGCTTTACGTGTTTCTCTTTCGAAAATCACCTCTTTCAGCAGACTTTTGGACTACCCATGGGCTCGTCACTCAGTGCCGTCCTGGTGAACCTATACATGGAACATCTGGAAGCCGAGCAATTTTCCAACATTATTCCTTCGTGTGTCACCTGGCTCCATTATGTTGATGACATTCTCATCATAACTCCCAGACGCTTCATCGTTGAAGCTCTCCAAGACAAGCTCAACCAGGTTGAGCCCTCAATCCAATTCACACTTGAAGATGAAGTCGACAACACTCTTCCTTTCCTTGATTTTCTTCTCTGCAAAGCTGACCATGAACTTCGTTTTAAAGTCTATCGAAAACCCACCAACCAAAATGATCTTCTCTGCTTCTACTCTCACCACGACACCAAAACTAAACATGGTGTAATTATAGGCTTTTTCCTGCGCCCACTCAGAATCTGCAGCAATGAGTTCCTTGAGGAAGAATGAACTATAATTGAACAAGTATTTTCCAAACTTCACTATCCTCGTCGCTTCATCAGAGACTGCAGAAGACGGGCACTAAACATTTTCAATACACCCAGAGAAGACACTGCCGAGAAGAGATACATAGTCCTCCCCACCAACTCCATTGCCAAACACGTTTCCAACATCTTTTCCAATACTTCATTCCAAGTGTCTACCTCCACAACCACGACCATCAAGGACATTACCAGTAATAGACAGGACAAGCTCCCATCCTCTGCAGGGGTATAGATAATCCCTTGTAATGACTGCAGCAAATTATACGTGGGCAAAACATCAAAAGACCTCCAAACACATATTTCAGAACACCAATACGCAAGCAGGTCTGATGATCCAAGGAATGCCTGTGTACAACACCATAATTCACACAACCATTTAATCGACTACAGAAACTCAAGATTTATCGCCAGAGAAGACAACACTCAATACCGAAGAATCCTGGAATCATCGCTTCAACAACTTCAACCAGAACAATGGCTTCTATAACATAGCTGAACCACTTGCCAGGAAACTTCTTCATCGCTATCCCACATAAGAACATAGGAATGGAGGAACACTGCAGAAGGTCTACTTATATACTTATCCAATCTCTCTTCCAAGCTACCCAAGATATTAAACTCTTTAACCCCACTCGGTAAATCATCACATGCAGCATTCTCCACCTGACCCAGCATTCTCAACCTGTCTATAAATACTCTCGTACCTTCCACCCAGGTGGATCTGTTTGTGACTTGAAAAAGCCCACTGTGTGGGCAAAACGTTGTCAATAAAGGATCACATTATACTGCATATTTGTTTATATTTCCATTGTGTTGGTATTTTATACCATTTATTTCCTATTCCATCTTCCAGAAACCTACTCCATCCTCTTGAAACCTACTTCATTCTCCTGAAACCTACTCCATCCTCCTTGAACCTAATCCATCCCCCTTGAACACTCCATCCTCCTAAACTACTCATCCCCCCTTACTCCATCCCCCTTGAACCTATTCCATCCTCCTGGAACCTACTCCATCCTCCTAAAACCTAATCCATCCTCCTAAAACCTAATCCATCCTCCACGAACCTACTCAATCCTCCTCGAGCTTAATCCATCCTCCTTAATCCTAATCCATTTTGTCAATTATTACATTCTTTACAAGAGGCTTTCGACTCGAAGAAGCAAACAGGCAGAGTACTGTATCTTCCCACTTCATAAGTGAGCAGTGTGGTAGTGATGCTTTACCTTCCCACTCCTGGAGTAGGCATTATAGTGATATTGTATCTGCCTACTGCATGGGTTGGCAGTGTGGTAGTATTGTATCTGCCTACTGCATGAGTTGGCAGTGTGGTAGTGATATTATACCTTCCCACTCCATGAGTGGGATGTGTGGTAGTGATATTGTACCTTACCACTCCACGAGTGCTAAGTGAGCTAGTAATAGTGAATCATAAAAAAACTATCTATGAGAGAGATTATTACATACAAGGTACTATCAAAATGTTCCCATACTTGAATTTTCGTGCACTTCCTGGGTGAAACATGGTGGTGGCATAGATCACACTGTGCAGTACACTCTTTTGTGAAGCAGCTAGCTAGTTGCAGTTCTGTCAGTCATTTTGAGGTTAGATAGGCATTTTTTGTCATGTTGTCAGTGCGCTTTTGCAATTTTTTGTGTAACAGAATCACTATAAAAGAACGGTGTGTGTGTGTTAGTTAGTTACCATTTTGTCCTAGGCACATGTCGATTAGACACTAGGCCTGTTGTGTGCGTGTGCGTGTGCGAGAGAGAGAGAGAGAGAGAGAGAGAGAGAGAGAGAGAGAGAGAGAGAGAGGAGAGAGAGAGAGAGAGAGAGAGAGAGAGAGAGAGAGAGAGAACAGAGAGACAGAAGAGAGAGAGAGACAGAGAGAGAGAGAGCAGAGACAGAGAGAGAGAGACAGAGAGACAGAGAGAAGAGAGAGAGCAGAGAGAGAGAGAGAGAGAGAGAGAGACAGAGAGAGAGAGAGAGAGAGAGAGAGAGAGAGAGAGAAGAGAGAAGAGAGAGAGAGACAGAGAGAGAGAGAGACAGAGAGACAGAGAGACAGAGAGAGAGACAGAGAGAGAGACAGAGAGAGAGAGAGACAGAGAGAGAGAGCAGAGAGAGAGAGAGAGATATCCTGTTTCAAGCTTGGTAAAAACAACCAATAAAATTCACAAAATGCTTCAACAAACATTTGACAACAAAGCAATGAGTTGGACATAGTGTTTTAAATGGTTTTTCTTGATTCAAAACAGGATGAATGTCAGATGAGAATGATGATCGCTCTGGTTGTCCATCAATGTTAAAAACAGATGTCAACATTAAAAAAGTTAGGAAGGCTATTCACGAAGGTTGTTGCCACAGTATCCAGGGCATTGCAAGGGCTGTGGAAATCTCTTATGGATCGTGTCAAAGCATTCTGACTGAAAATTTGAACACGAGGCAAATGGATGTGAAATTTGTGCCCTGCCTGCTGACTCAAGATCAGAAAGATCATTTTCTGGCCAAAAACAACATGGCAGTGGTCCCCCCCACCTTCCCTACACCCCAGATTGAGACCCTGTGACTTCTTTCTCTTTCCAAAAAAAATAACTCAAGGGATGATATTTTAATGACATGGAGGAGATTCAAGCAGCTTCACAGGCTGTGCTAGACACTGCTAAGAAAGAAGAGTTCCAGAAATGTTTTGAGGAATAGCAAAGGTACTGGGATCAGTGTATAGCTTCCCAAGGGAGACAACTTCAACTAGGTGATTAGGGAAGCCTATATATTTTTTCGTGGCGGTCCAGGAACTATTGAAAGCATCTTGTATATTTTTGCATTATTACATTTATTTGACAATATCTGCTGATGCAGTAGTCTATGAACATGACTGACATATATCATAATATCAGTGGCATATATAAAACCAACAAGTAAATGAATAAGACACATGTGCAACATTTAGGTATCTTTAACCCTTTGAGGGTTTCGGACGTACTAGTACGGCTTACAACCCAGGGTTTTTGACGTACTAGTACGCCTAAATTCTAGCGCCCTCAAATCTAGTGGGAGAAAACTGGTAGGCCTCCATATGAAAGAATGGGTCTATGTGGTCAGTGTGCACAGTATAAAAAAATCCTGCAGCACACAGTGCATAATGAGAAAAAAAAAACTTTGACCATTTTTTTGGAATAAAACAGCGACTTTGCACTGTATTTTTGTATGGTATTTATTGTTGTATTCTAGTTTTCTTGGTCTCATTTTATAGAATGGAAGGCATATCATAGAAATTGAGATGATTTTGACTGGTTTTACAATGAAAAGTACCTTGAAATTGAGCTCAAAGTAGCAGAAATGTTTGATTTTTACCAAAGTTCAAAAGTAAACAAATCATGCCAAGCGTCCAATACACGTCAACTGGTGAGTCTAATATTCTTTTGCAAGTGCGCCAATATGATTCATACCATTTTTTACACTAATGCAGTAGTCTGCATAACAGTAAATCTTCTATTTTTTGTGAGAATAAAAATTCAAAGTGGAAAGCAAAAGAATGTAAGAGGGGCCTTGAGACGTGACTAATGAACAGAGGAAATGTCATTTTAGTGCCAGGAAGGTATTTCTTGTTTGTTCTGGACCCTATTCGGAAATTGGCATCTTTTGAAATTTGTGTGAAATTGGCAAAATTGCTAAATTCTGACCACTGTACTGGATAGTTGAAATTGGTAAATGGGTGGTTTCTTGCACTCATTCAATAGAAAAAAATGGAGTTCTAGCGAAATATTCATGTTTTTTGTCGACTAGTACAGTGGAATTGGCCGAAAATGGGGCTCAAAGTGGGCAAAATCGCTGATCCATAAACATCGCCGAGACAGCGAACTTCGCGAGAGCATAATTCCGTAAGTTTTTCATCAAATTTCATATTTTTGGTGTCATTATGATCAGGAAAAGATTCTCTATCTTTTCATAAGAAATTTTTTTTTTTTTTTAAATTTGGCCGACCCTGAGAACGAGTCTCGGAGAGGGCCTGTCGACCCTCAAAGGGTTAATGTCAATAAAGATACCTATAATGCATGTGTGCCTTATTCAACATGTCTGGCATATGGCAGAAATGGTTACAAGTGTTTTGTACACCTGCATCACCTTGGACTTCTTTGGTTATTCATTATGCACTAAAGTTCATAAAGATTTGCTGTTGCTTAGGTTGGGCATCTGCTGAACCAACTTCATTACCTTGTCGAGAACCACTTCATTTGTACACTGCACAGATTCGGGTTCATATGGTGGCGATATCATTGCTGCCTGCAACACCTGGAGCAATTAAATTTAAGTAAGAAACTGCCTTTGCTATCATGGCTTGATGGGATATGGCTGGTTCGTTGAAAAAAAGAAAATGATCTCTGAATAAAAAATAAAGACCTGAATTTTACAAAAACCAAATACCTTATCTCTATTTGTCTATGGACATTATACATATTTTTCTAATATGGGGAAGCACCTAACCTGTAGGGGTCATATAATGCCTGGGGAACAGGAGGCAATCAGCTTTAATCAAAGGAAGAGGAGGATAAGTCCAGTTACTTAAATCAAGAACCCCTCACTGGCATCAAGGCACTTCCCTCCCTTGAGGGTAATGTTCAGTCATAAATTATCACCTAATAGAAACTACATGTGTTACCATAATTAAACAATTAATACAGTATAACTATTCAAAAAAACTGATTCACTCCCAAAAATGTTTCATTGCATTAGTCTTCCTGCTAAGTCTCATTAATACAAGTGTAACATCTTCAAATTCTGAAGCACACTATCCGATTTTTACCAGTTTTATGTGCACTGTATATGCATTTATTTCACAAACAAAATTATTCTACAGTATTTTAGCAGCCTGCACTGCAAAATTATTTGCACCTGAAAGTCTTTCTCTAGTTTAAATCAGGTAATACAGCTAACATAAACCACTGATGAAGGGTAAATTTATTAATCTACCATAGACCTGATGACCCCCTAAATAAATGTAATTCTATTCACAGCATTTCTGTCCACCTAAAGTGATCACCAACAGCCTGAATAGTCAGATACTGGATTATAATTACCAAGCAAAGGATCGGGCTTCTATCCGTCCTTGTGTTGAATTACACACAAGTTTAGCAAATAATAATAACATTTCTGGAGCAAGGGGCAAGTAACCCTTTCTCCTGTATAAATTACTAAATTTAAAAAGAGAAACTTTTGTTTTTCTTTTTAGGTCACCCTGCCTCGGTGGGATGCAGCTGGTACGATGAAAAATAAATAAAAATTATAATAATAATAATCCACCTAAAGAGTTGAATAAAAAATCATACCTGTATACTCATGTCATCTGTTACTGTGTAGGGGACACGGTTTTCTGCTAACCAAACACAAAGAGCCTCTCGCCTGGCTGTTAACTGTTGGCTGCTGTAATGAACCTGTAACGAATGCCTGTTAAGTAATATACAGTACTCTACAAAAACCATAAAATAATAACAGATAATCAGCACTAACACACCATTACACTCTTGTTCTGTGGGCATATCAGAATAATAAAAAAACTGTTGCTTAATCTCATTTTATCTGTAATTCAAGATGGTGGAAAAAGTGCAAATCACAAGAACTGTTACTGTGACGATCATAAATATAAATTAATATTCAAATCAATGCTGGTCATGCAGTGGAAGCAGATTTCCCTACATTACTGCAGTGCTTAATACAGTTTTTTTTTTAATCAAAATAACTTACCATCCTTAAATGGGTGCCTTTATGATTGCATTTTAAACTTGGATTCCCAAAAACAGCTTGAGGATTTTTTTCAGACTAAATTAAAACTTTTAACAATTATGTATGGGTGTTCATAAAATAAAGCAACCAGTTGCAAACATGGGGTGCATCCTGTGGCTGCTTGTGTGATGCTCCGACTACTATACACTCAACACCAAATTTATTACACATTCGATAACAACAACAACAAAAAAAAAATATCGTATAGTCTGTATTGTAGGCCCAGAAATATTGTTCAGCACCAAATTTTCTGGGTTCTTTGTTATTTTATTACTTTCTGAATACCTGGAGTTTACCTGAAGAGAGTTTCGGGGGTCAACGCCCCCGCGGCCCGGTCTGTGACCAGGCCTCCTGGTGGATCAGCGCCTGATCAACCAGGCTGTTGCTGCTGGCTGCACGCAAACCAACGTACGAGCCACAGCCCGGCTGATCAGGAACTGACTTTAGGTGCTTGTCCAGTGCCAGCTTGAAGACTGCCAGGGGTCTGTTGGTAATCCCCCTTATGTGTGCTGGGAGGCAGTTGAACAGTCTCGGGCCCCTGACACTTATTGTATGGTCTCTTAACGTGCTAGTGACACCCCTGCTTTTCATTGGGGGGATGGTGCATCGTCTGCCAAGTCTTTTGCTTTCGTAGTGAGTGATTTTCGTGTGCAAGTTCGGTACTAGTCCCTCTAGGATTTTCCAGGTGTATATAATCATGTATCTCTCCCGCCTGCGTTCCAGGGAATACAGGTTTAGGAACCTCAAGCGCTCCCAGTAATTGAGGTGTTTTATCTCCGTTATGCGCGCCGTGAAAGTTCTCTGTACATTTTCTAGGTCGGCAATTTCACCAGCCTTGAAAGGTGCTATTAGAGTGCAGCAATATTCCAGCCTAGATAGAACAAGTGACCTGAAGAGTGTCATCATGGGCTTGGCCTCCCTAGTTTTGAAGGTTCTCATTATCCATCCTGTCATTTTTCTAGCAGATGCGATTGATACAATGTTATGGTCCTTGAAGGTGAGATCCTCCGACATAATCACTCCCAGGTCTTTGACGTTGGTGTTTCGCTCTATTTCGTGGCCAGAATTTGTTTTGTACTCTGATGAAGATTTAATTTCCTCATGTTTACCATATCTGAGTAATTGAAATTTCTCATCTCAAGAATGATTATGGGAATAGGGCCTACATGACCTAATACAGTGATTCTGCTGCTACAGTATTCGTACATCATTTACTGATAAATTATAATCGTGTACACAAATTTTCATTCTAATCTGAGGTAATTTTGGAAATTACAGTGTGTCAGTTTATATTAAATATTGTATATTTTTCAAACTAAAATTCAGACGAGTAAAACTTGCCACCGGGAATAACTGTGTACCACAAAAAATGTGAATGGCAAAACTATGAAAAACAAGACCCTGCTTTATTATGAAACAGAAGGCCAGGGAACAAAACTGTACAGTGCAGTATATCAGGCCTACTTTTCATAATTACCTTTACTAACACACACACTATATAATAACACACTGCCATTTGTGGGAGGTTATATTCCCAAGATTCAAACTCAGAATGAAAGAGTAATTTGTGTTACACACAATGACAGATTTACTGTTAAGTGGCCACTTAGAACCCAATTACTGAGGGGCCCCCAAATTGTTAATCATTTGTTTCTTAACCCTTTGTGAACCATGTCCTCGTCTGTAATATTTGATGACTTTTTGTCACCATATATATGTACTTATTAGCATATATATACTACTGCATTTTTGATTCTGAAATAAAAAATCAATTATTTAAGTTGTTTTCATATATTAAATATTTATTTTTGAAGAATCAATTTCTACAACAACAAGCTTCTAGCGGGCCAGCAACAGTCACACAATCAATCGTCTATCTGGCTCTAATGTTAAAATTTAATTTTCACTGGTGCAATGCCTGACAGCAACAAAGGGCTCCTTAAACAATGTTACCTTTAGGACCCTTGAACCTCTAAATCCAATATTGACTACAGACTTAGTAATGCAGTACTAAAACTAAATTATGATAGAGCTCTTGTTGAACTATTAAGATACAGTAGAAAACCTTAAGTTGCATGATCATAGCTCACATTTTCAATATTATTAGGTTTTCATTTCCAATAGATTGTTTCAGTGGGATGCAGCTGGTTTGTTGAAAGATAATCTCCAATCCAATAGAAGCACTGCCCTTGATTAGAATGTTTAATTTTATGAAACTGCACTGTAAATTCAAAGTTTATGTGAAAATACAGAAACTTAAATAACCAGAGCATGACTATACTGAATCCTTACTTATAAAGAGATTAATGTTGTGTAGAATATATATCTGAAGCAAGTACTGGAATCTCTTTCAAGGTAAATTACCTGCTCCTTTCTAAAGAGTGTGTCAATAAACTGAGCAAGCCCTGGGGGTGGATTACTGTTGATAACCTTAATGTTTTCCACATTATATCCTGACACCAGGATCACTTCTTTACTGCCATTCTCACCAAAGTCAACCAGAACCACACTGCAGATACAGAGAAAGTTTGCTGCAATATGAAAATTAATAAGCAAAAATGGACAGCAGAATTTTTATTTTAAGCATATGGCTGTAAGAACTTCTATACTGTATTTATTACAATACAAAACAAATTCTGACAAGATATGGGTTATGACAATTTTTACAGTTGGAAAACTGTACAATAATAATGCTTATATTAATATTCCAACATGTTTTCAGCTCTTGCAATTCACTAACCATGTGAAAATTATGTCACTCAATGAGTTCTTTTTTATTTTTAAATTTTATTTAATCACTATGAAAAACATATACTAGTAGTAAAGGAGTAGACAACAGCCCAGCCAAAGAGAAAGGTGATACTGTACACGTAATCACCAAACCAGTGAGTGTAAAAATATCACTGAACAGAACACTGACCAAGTCCCCACAGGGAAGAGAACAGTTAAGTTTTCTGAAGAGGCAGACCAACCCTTCATGACATTTACGCTACCCTGCCTCCATGAGGTATGGCCAGTTTATTGAAAGAAGAAAGAAAAAGCACCATCAGGCAAGTCCCAAGCACATTCACAGGCATAGGACATCCCACCATACACATACATATGGATGACTCGCCAATCAAGAACTAACAGATGATCTAACCAAGAGAAAGCATCATTCTGCCCTATGTTTATACAAGATACTGCATTCCAAAAATTAATGCTGGGAGAAACGTCTCGCCATAGCAGATACTTGATCATCACTAGTTCAGATGCCCTGAGGAAGAGGTTACCTTACACAGAACCCAGTGTGATGTCCCCAGATAAGCCAGCACTGTACTTAGATGAACCCACCTATAACACATTTTCCCTGGCAACGCCTCCCACGAGGAGAAGCAGAAGAACAGGGAAGAGGGTTTACCAACTGCTTGAAGATCTATAGAATAAGGGGCATATGGTGTATATTGTGACTAGCAAATGTTGCCTAGGTGGTGAGTGGCATGTCATTAAAAATCAGAGGAAAAGGGACACATACACCCAGTAAGTTATGGTAGCCATTATAGTTGCTCATATACCCTAAGGATACGAAAAAGGAAAACAGATATGCTTCACTGGAAAGAGATTTTCCTCGAAAGGAAAGACTAGAAAGTGAAAAAAAAGTTTACAAATCCATAACATAAAATACTGGAATTTACACTGTATTTTGCACTTAATGCCCTGTCAAACTTCTCCATATTGTATACATAAAATGTTTAACCACCATACCTCTCAGATACTGGGTCAATGGTATGGACCCAGCCAGTATACTGCTTGTGGTCTGTGGTAGTAACTGTGACTTGGCAGTGGATCATAGAATGAAGCAAAACAGGATCATTTGTGAATATTTTGTGAGTATCATTCACATCTGACATGACGAAATCCTAACTATAGTACCATACCTGGAAATAAAATTTATAAAGTAGATAACTTTAATAATGCAGTACTGTGCATGTATTAGTACCATAGTTATTCAAACTTAACATGCATAAATATCATAACATAATAGAACCTGACATGATGTCAGGTTCTGTTATGTTATAACAGGCTAAAGGAGTAGGTCTGGAAAAGGATGTCAACTGAATATCCTTGAATCAAAGAGTCTAGATTGTAAAAACTATACATGTACATGTATAGGTAAAAGCCAGACAAGGAATGGTGTATATCAGGTGGAGAAGAGACATAGAGAGAGGCAATTAGAAAGGTGGCTGGTCAGTGAGCCAACAGTCAAGTACTGTAAGCTTCTTAGTGTTGGTAGTGAAGGCAAGATACTGGTGAAGTAATTAAGTGACCAGAGAGAATGAGTTTTAGGGTGAAAGTGAAGTGGAAGGTAGTTAACACTGAGACATGAAATGCTAGGCCTTGCTTGTGCATTTTAGAATATTATAGTTTTGAAAATGGCATTACCTTTAGAACAGAATGGTAATTTTAACTGCTATTCTTCATTATACTGTAACTGTATAATTGTTCTTAATCATACCCTACTACTGTTCATTTGTAAATATTTGGTGTCATGAGGGTGATTACAGGAACATGTCATAGAGACAAGAGAGTTTTTACTAGGAGCCAGGATCAGTCATCAGGAAAGTCTAGAACTGGAAAGTAATACTGGTTGATATCATTACTGTATTATACCTGATTTTGATAAGATAAGCAGAGGCAGATAGTAGACCATGGCAGAAAGTATCATGCAGTAACAGCAGTCTAACAATTAGTTGTTCAGAGTGATCAGATATATGAAGAATGTGATGAAATTTTAAATAAAAAAATTAGAAACAACATAATCTTCTGTCTACTTTATTATACTGAATCTTTTAAGCAGCGACAACCAGGTTTCCTTGTTAAATCAACTATTAGATTATTTGTGGGAGGAGGAAATCACAGTTGGGGCAGCAAATCAGTTTTAGTTAAGACGTCACAGAGCGAATCATTGTTAAATGTACGATTATAAAAGAAGGAAGGCACTGAAGTTGATGCCAAAAACAAGCCTGAACAATCTATCAGAAGATGGTCTGGCAGCACAGCTTGAAAATCAGTAACACAGAACACCAATACCTGGAGTATACCTGGATGGTGCTCTGGTGAGTCAATGCCCCACGGCCCAGTCCATGACCAATACACAAATAACCTGCATATCGAAGAAACTTATGACGACTGATGCATCTATTTACATTCAGCCAGGTAAATGATACAAGACAAGACAAAGAGTTATGTCAGCATGATACAATGTTTGCAGAGAGGTGGGTGACATTTAGTTATTCAAAGCATATCAGGCAAGCTTAAGCCTAACTTAAAACTACAATTTCAATAACTATTATTTGCTTATATATTTAAGGACATTAAGGGTTTACAAACAACATTGGGGTCAAAGGACCCCAATGGAAATAAGTCACTCTGACTTTTCTGGGTTAGCCTAGGTTCTCTACATATATGCTGCTATGTATGATAATCTATGTAACTGTGTGTATACCTGAATAAACTTACTGACTTAATTACTTACAGACAATTATTACTTGTTGAATTATGATTACAAGCAATGAGAGTAAGAATATGTATATAGTTTTTTAACATATTTGTGGTTGTAAGAATTGTTTAATACATTTAACGTAATCAAAATAAATGTACTGTTTTCATTAATACCTCCCAAAATGACAATTTGTACAAAAATAACTTAATTCTAGATTGTATGTTATGTAAAATGTAAACTAATGCCCGAAATCTGCCGGGAGATAGTAGTAAATTACGGCCAATATTACAATATACGTAATATTACTAAAATCCAAATACGTACAAATATTTGTGTTTACAGCAATGCCTTAATTGCTGGGTAAAATAAATTTGCTATTTATTTGTCGTGGATTTATAGAGCTACCATAACCTGCACCGTATTGAACCTCACTTCCCGGTCTCAGATAAAATAGTAAAGAAACGAGAACAAAGTAAGTTACCAATTAGGCTAGGTGGATCCCATGCCTTAACCAGGTACCTGGATGTTAGTGTAAAGTAAAAGGACACAAGTGCAACTAATGTGACATTTTATTGTGGCAACGTTTCGCTCTCCAGCAGCTTGATAAAGCTCCTGGCCTGGTGGCTAAAGCTCTCGCTTCACACGGCGAGGGTCTGCCTTCGAGTCCCAGCGCGGGTAGAAACATTGGGCATGTTTCTTTACACCGGTTGTCTATGTTCACCCATCAGTAAAATGGGTACCTGAGAATTAGTCAACTGGTGTGGGTTGCATCCTGGGACAAGGACCTAATTTGCCCGAAATGCTCTGCATAACAAGGGGCTTTCTATATGTAGTAGTATGTCATTGATGTCAGCTAGGCTTATCTTCCTTGTACATGTACTTGTAGTAAATAAAGATGTTACTATATTATTATTATATGATATTCAAGTCAGTGGCCCGGTGGCCTCGTGGCTAAAGCTCCCGCTTCACACACGGAGGGCCCGGTTCGATTCCCGGCGGGTGGAAACATTTCGACACGTTTCCTTACACCTGTTGTCCTGTTCACCTAGCAGCAAATAGGTACCTGGGTGTTAGTCGACTGTTCTGGGTGGCATCCTGGGGGACAAGATTAAGGACCCCAATGGAAATAAGTTAGACAGTCCTCGATGACGCACTGACTTTCTTGGGTTATCCTGGGTGGCTAACCCTCCGGGGTTAAAAATCCGAACGAAATCTTATCTTATCTTATCTTAACAGGTTTGCTTCCTCCAGGCCGCTGAAATCCGCAGAGCGAAAAAAAAGCAATGCTGGTCAATTGCCCAGCGGCAGTGTAACGACGTCAAACGTCCCAACGAGGAAAAAGATTTTATCCGTATTACTAACTAGAAGGGTCAGTAACCCAGGTTAACCCTACAAACTGTCATCAGACTGCCTCATTTCAACCATACCCCCGGCCGGGATTGAACCCGCGGTCATAGAGTCTCAAAACTCCAGCCCGTCATTTCCATTGGAGTCCTTTAATTAATCATCTCTTTTAGGATGCGACCCCGTAACAGTTGACTAACATCCAGGTACCTACATAATACCAGGTGAACAGAGGTAATATGTGTAATAATAATGATAATAATAATAATAATATCTTTATTTACTACAAGTACATCTACATGTAACTGTACATGTAAAAATCTTTTTGAGAGGGTTCTAAGAAGCAAGATCGCCAACCACCTAGATACCCATCAATTACACAACTCAGGGCAACACGGGTTTAGAGCAGGTCGCTCCTGCCTGTCCCAACTACTAGACCACTATGACAAGGTCCTGGATGCTGTGGAGGATAAACAAAATACAGATGTAATATACACAGACTTTGCAAAAGCTTTCGACAAGTGTGATAAAGGAATAACAGGAAAAGTTGGTAGATGGATCTACAACTTCCTGGCAAAAAGAACACAAGGAGTAATAGTAAACAGTAAAGTCCCAGGCAGCCACGGTAAAAAGCTGTTTCACAAGGCACAGTACTCGCTCCCATTCTGTTCCTCATCCTCATTTCTGACACAGAGATATACGCCATAGCTCCGTGTCCTCCTTTGCTGTTGACACCCGGATTACCATGGCAGTTGGAAATATAAACACAAATGCAGTATAATGTGATCCTTTAACATTCTATAACATAACTGAACCACTCGCCAAGAAACTTCTTCATCGCTATCCCACATAAGAACATAGAACACTGCAGAAGATCTACAACTTGTCCAATACCCCTGCCAAGCTACCCAAGACTCTATAACCCCACCCGGTGGATCATCAGATGCAGCATTCTTCACCTGACCTCAACATTCTGACTATAAATACTCTCGTACCTTCCAACCCCAGGTAGATCCGTGTGTGAAAGTTAAGACACATGTGCAACATCTGGATATCTTTATTGTAGTAGACGTTTCGCCATCCAGTGGCTTTATCAAAACAGATTCTAGGACATAATAGGAAGACAGTAGAACTATATACAAAAGATGAGGTAATCAGTCCCTCGGCCTTGGAGTTAGTGTTCACAGCATCGTGGTGGAGGAGAGTCTGGAGCAAAGGCAAGAAGACTGGCGTTTTTATAGGCGTCAGTGGATGGGACGGGCAGCAGACGAGGGCAGTCACTGGTAGGCGGGATTCCCCAGTGGAAGTAGGTCCTTCCCAAAGATATCCAGATGTTGCACATGTGTCTTAACTTTCATATTGTCGGTATTTTATACCTTTCTTGCACAGATCCGTGTGTGACTTGAGAAAGCCCACTGTGTGGGTGAAACGTTGTCAATAAAGGATCACATTATACTGCATTTGTGTTTATATTTCCATTGTGTCGGTATTTTATACCATTTATTACCACCATGGCAGTTACCTCCTTCGAAGACACTGCGAGACTCCAAGCAGACATCAACTAAATCTTCAAATGGGCCACTCAAAACAATATGAAGTTCAACGAGCAGAAATTTCAACTCAGATATGGGAAACTTGAGGAAATTAAAAATGTATCAGGGTATACAACAAAATCTAACCATACAATAGAGCGGAAAAGTAATGTTAAGGACCTGGAAGTGATAATGTCAGAGGACCTCGCCTTCAAATTATTATTATTATTATAATCAAGGGGGAAGCGCTAAACCCGGAAGATTATACAGCGCCTGGGGGGGGGATGTGGAAGGCATTCAGGCTTAATTCGGGGAACTGGAGCACAGATTCAATTCCCTAAATCAAGAGCCCCTCACCAACATCAAGGAACCTTCCTTGAGGGGCCTCGCCTTCAAAGACCACAAGAATGTATTTACCTCTTACGCTAGGAAAATGATAGGATGGATAATGAGAACCTTCAAAACTAGGGACGCCAAGCCCATGATGATTCTCTTCAAATCGCTTGTGCTCTCTAGGCTGGAATACTGCTGTACACTAACGGCCCCCTTCAAGGCTGGCGACATTGCAGATCTGGAGAGTGTACGAAGAACTTTCACGGCACACACAAGTACGATAAGGCACCTAAATTGCTGGGAACGGTTGAAGGTCCTTGATATGTATTCCCTGGAATGCAGACGAGAGATACATGATAATATACACTTGTAAGGTCCTGGAGGGATTGGTATCAAACCTGCACACGAAAATCACTCCCTATGAAAGCAAAAGACTCGGCAGGAGATGAAACAATCCCCCCGATGAAAAGCAGGGGCGCCACGAGTATACTGAGAAGCAACACAGTAAGTATCCGGGGCCCAAGACTGTTCAACTGCCTCTCAGCATACATAAGAGGTATTACCAATAGACCCCTGGCTGTCTTTAAGAAGGCACTGGACAGGCACCTAAAGTCAGTACCTGACCAACCGGGCTGTGGTTCGTACGTCGGCTTGCGTGCGGCCAGCAGTAACAGCCTGATTGATCAGACCCTGATTCACCATGAGGCCTGGTCTCAGACCGAGCCGAGGGGGCGTTGACCCCCGAAACCCTCTCCAGGTAAACTCCAGGTATGTACTTGTAGTGAGTCACATGTACATTGTATACAGGCCTAGCTGACATCAATGACATACTACTATATAGAAAACCCCTTATTATGCTGAGTATTTCGGGCAAATTAGGTCAGTTTTGTCCCAGGATGCGACCCACACCAATCGACTAAGACCCATGTAAACTGATGGGTGAACAGGAACAGGGACAGGAGGTGTCTTATGGAAACACGTCCCTAATGTTTTCCAGCCGTAATGGAGGAGATTCGAACCCCGGACTTCAGTGTGAGCTGAGTGAGCTAGCGATCGAGCTCCAGGACATGTCCAAAATTTCCACTCGTCCAGGGACCGAATCTCGGTCCCTCAATTACTAGCGACCCTCGAATACCTTAGAAGTGCTTAGAAGACAGTGTACTGGACACATCGTCATCTCCGAGTGCACACTCTCATCATACACCGCCCACGGACACATTTTTCCCTATCTGAAGTGCTTAATCTCATCATACACCACCCACTGGACACATTATTCTCTCCCTGGGATGCTTGTTCACATTGTACACAGCCCACTGGACACATCTGAGATGCTCGTTCTCATCATACACTACCCACATTATTCCCTCCCTGGAGTATGTTCTCATCATACACTGCCCACTGGTCCTCATCGTACACTGCCCACTGGTCCTCATCGTACACTGCCACTAGTTCTCATCGTACACTGCCCACTGGTTCTCATCATACACTGCCCACTGGTTCTCATCATACACTGCCAACTGGTTATCATCATACATTGCCCACTGGTTCTCATCATACACTGCCCACTGGTTCTCATCATACACTGCCCACTGGTTCTCATACACTGCCCACTGGTTCTCATCATACAATGCCCACTGGTTCTCATCATACACTGCCCACTGGTTCTCATCATACACTGCCCACTGGTTATCATACACTGCCAACTGGTTCTCATCATACACTGCCCACTGGTTCTCATCATACACTGCCCACTGGTTCTCTTCATACACTGCCCACTGGTTCTTATACACTGCCCAGTGGTTATACACTGCCAACTGGTTCTCATTATACACTCCCACTGGTTCTCATCGTACACTGCCCACTGGTTCTCATCATACACTGCTCACTGGTTCTCATCATACACTGCCCACTGGTTATCATACACTGCCTACTAGTTCTCATCATACACTGCCCAGTGGTTCTCATCATATACTGCCCACTAGTGTTCATCATACACTGTCCACTGGTTCTCATCATACATTGCCCACTGGTTCTCATTATACACTGCCCACTGGTTCTCATACACTGCCAACTGGTTCTCATACACTGCCCACTGGTTCTCATACACTGCCCAATGGTTGTCATTATACACTGCCCACTGGTTCTCATACGCCGCCCACTGGTTGTTCTCATTATACACCGCCAACTAGTTCTTCTCATACACTTCCCACTGGTTCTCATCATACATTTCCCATTGGTTCTCATCACACTGCCCACTGGTTCTCATACACTGCCCATTGGTTCTCATCATACACTGCTCACTGGTTATCATACACCACCCACTGGTTCTTATACACTACCCACTTGTTCTCATCATACACTGCCCAACTGGTTATCATCATACACTGCCCAACTGGTTATCATCATACACCGCTCATTGGTTCTCATACACTGCCCACTGGTTCTCATACACCACCCACTGGTTCTCATCATACACCACCCACTGGTTGTTTTCATCATACACTGCAGACTGGACACATCGTTCTCCGGGGTGCTTGTTCTCATCATACACCACCCACTGGATACATTATTCTCTCCCTGGAGTGTTTGGTCTCATACACCGCTCACATCATTCATTATTCTATCCCTGGAGTGCTTGTTCTCATCAGACACCGCCCACTGGACACGTTATCTTATCCTGGGATGCTTGTTCTCATCGTACATGAGGGTTGCCTAGCATGAGCCAGTAGGTTTACTTAGTTTAATGTTTATTAATGCAACCCATACCCATCCTGTGGGCGGTAGTCAAAAGATTACAGAGGTACATAATGGGTCCAGGGACTGGGCGCATGGGCCAATAAGCCTACTGCATTTTCCCTCTGTTCTCTTATTCTCATTATACACTGCCTGCTGGACCCATCATTCATACGTGTATTGCATTATGGCTGCAAAAACAGCAAGTATGTTATATTTTCAAATCGTATTATATGTTGAAATTCTTACAGGAATGAGGGAGCAGCAAGTTAGCACAAGTGTGTGTCGAGGGGTTGCCTTAAAAAAGGGCAGATTGAGGCAGGTACACAACTGCCGGTCAACCATTAAGTAGTTATGAGGATTATTGTAATATATCCATATGGAGTAACGTTTTATTTAGGCATTGGATATACAATTATTTTACAGGGTCTCGACTATATACAGATTGTATATTGTATTGGGTACATAAACAGAACATTATGTAGATTTAACGTAGTATAACTTCATACTGCAAAGTCAAAACACTGTGACTTATTTCCATTATTTCCAAGCACTAAACCTGAGTTGGTACACTGAATGGGGAGTGAGACACTGGATGAATCCAGGAAAGAATAAGACAGTTCTAAGTCTTTAAATCAAGAATTTTTCATCAGCACATCACAAAGCAACAGTCTAAGTAGAATAATTAATTAAGGTAGCTATCTAAGAACCACAGATATTGAAAAGAGAGAGTACCACAAGAAAATAATGCATTGCAATGACACCCTGCATTGCAGTTACAAAGTGTTGCGATAGATATTTAGAAGGTGCTGTGGAACACTGTATGGTGTACAGTGAACTATTATATTTATGAAACAGTGCCTGGAGAAAGTGTGGAGTTATCAGGTTTGATCTAGGAGTGAAAAATGGCTCTAATTATCTGATGAAGAGCCTTACATTTCCGTTAAGGCACCTCCCTTGAAATAAGTGTATTTTGAGAGTACGTGACATTACCAACGTAACTGTATAGGTACGTCAAGTATTGGTAAGTGAGTACTGTATTCATCAAAAAGTGCTAAATTCATGTCATTAATGGCTGCAAGAGTGAATAATGACTGTTACAGGTGTTGATGTTATCAGTGATAGTGACAGAACAAGCAGTGTTGAGATTAAATATAGTGTCAACCCTACATATTAACTGGGAACAAACATTAACAACTATCTTCTGTACTACATTCTCATTCCCATTAGCTATCTCACCTGTGGAAGATAATTATTTTAATCAACTATGAACGGTTAGTCCTAACCGAATAAGGAAAATTAATCACCATAAATAAAAAGTTTGTCTCATTAAGCTGTACTCCCAATATCTTTCAAGCTTCCTACCCACAACATAAATATGACATAAGAATGTTCATTCCTTAAGAATATTGATTACAGACGTCTCAGCAGTTATGTAATATTTTAAGATGGTAGTTTGCATCTTTCCTCATACCCATGGTGTGGGCGATAATCAGGGTATTGCAACCAAATACTGGGTCCAGAGACTAGTACACAATGTTCTCATAACTGAGGAAGTCATAGAAGTAATGAGTGGGTCACAGAGTTAACAGTTTCAGTGATAATAATGGCAGCAATCACATTATTCAACAGTAGCGTCAGACATCACAACAACCTCACGTTCCACTGTGAAAATAAAAACCCTCCATTATTATTTAAACACATTAAATATTCAAGCATAATTATCCCACAGATATACCACTTATATTATATTATTTTTTTCCTTTATATGGTTATACAAATCTGTATATTATATAGTATAGTAAATGTTGGTGAGAGTGAAGGTAAGAGAGGGAGTGTGAGAGTAAACAAACAAGGGGAAGCATCTTCTACACTACTGCCTCTCAAACATGTCTAAGGTGCGTTATTTGTGCTAATATTATTCTTATATTAGGTTTCTGCAAACCCCTGATCTATATAGCAAGTGATAATGTGAGGTAATTAACAATATAGTTTTCCTTTTTCTCATAAATTCTATAGGGTAATTTATGTATGGGTTTTCATTACTACCTGAGGTGACTGGAGACGTTGTTTGTAGATGTAAGTTCATTTAGTTACGGGTATGATAGGTACATTAATATTAGAAGGTGTGATAAAATACCAAGTGAATATAAAAAAACATGTAGAAAGTGTGGAGTTTCAGGTTTTGATCTAGGAGTGAAATGCTCTATTATCTGATGAAGAGCTTACATTCGTTAAGGCACCTCCTTGGAATGAAGTGTTTTTGAAGTTGGTGACATTACAACGTAACTGTATGATCCAAGTATTGTAATTTGAGTATGTATTCATCAAAAAGTGACTAAATTCATGTCATTATGTGCAAGAGTGATTAAATGACTGTTACAGGTGTTGAGTTATCAGTGATATGACAGACAAGCATTTTTGAATTAAATTAGTGTCGAACCTAATATTACGGGGAAAAAATTAACAACTTTTTGTTATACATTCTCATTCCATTACTATCTCACTGTGGAAGATAATTATTGTTAATCAATATGAACGGTTGCCCTACGAATAAGGAAATTTAATCACATAAATAAAAGTTTGTCTCATTAAGCTGTACTCTATATCTTTAAGCTTCTACCACACATGAATAGACATAAGAATGTTATCCTTAGAGATATTGAGTACAGACGTCTCAGCAGTTCTGTAATATTTTAAGTGGAGTTTGCATCTTTCCTATCATACCCATGGTGTGGGCGATAATCAGGGTATACAACCAAATCTGGGTCCAGAACTAGTATACTATGTTCTCAACTGAGGAAGTCATGAAGTAAGTGGCCACGAGTACAGTTCAGTGATAAAAATGGCCCAATCCATTATTATCTGTGAGCGTCAGTAAACAACAACCTCACGTGCCACTGTGAAATAAAACATTATTATTTAACACTTAAATATTCAAGCACATTACCCATGATATACCACTTATTATATTTTTTTTCCTTTATATGGTTATACAAATCTGTAATTATATAGTATCTGTAAATGTTTGAGAGTGAAGTAAGAGTAGGTGTGAGATTAACAAACAAGGGATAGCATTTCTACACTAACTGCTCTCAAACATGTCTAAGGTGCGTTATTTGTGCTAATATTATCTTATTTTAGGTTCTGCAACCCTGCCTATATAGCAGTGTAATGTGAGGTATTAACAATAGTTTTCCTTTTCTAGAATTCTATAGGGTAATTTATGTATGGTTTCATTACTACCTGAGGTGACTGGACCGTCTGTTTGTGATGTAAGTTCATTTAGTACGGTATGCATAGTACAGTTTTCATAAAAGTAACGTGTAAGAAATTACAAGGATAACAAAAAAAAAGTCAGTTTCCATGGTGTCCTAAGTACTGTTATAGGTGACTGAACCACTCCTGGAGGGTCTTTGTCGTTGGTAAGGCTCTTATCCAGGAATTAGATTGCTTCACTTGGGACTCACAGATTGCCACCATTTACCAGGCTCTGTATGACTCCTGTAGATTTGATTACCTAAATTGATGATGTAGATGTTTGGGTTTTTGATTCTGTATTTGCCTTTATTGGTTATAAGAATTTTTTTGTGCTTGATGAAATTCGTTGAACTTCAAGAAGTCTGTCTGTTAATAATGTGCATTTTATCTAATAATACTTGCATCTAAAGGATTAGATCTAGGAGTAGGTTGGTAGACAGCAACCACCCAGGGAGATACCACCATCCTGCCAAGTGAGTGTAAAACAAAAGCCTGTAATTGTTTTACATGATGGTAGGATTGCTGGTGTCTTTTGTCTGTCTCATAAACATGCAAGATTTAGGTATGTCTTGCTACTTCTACTTACACTTAGGTCACATGAGGGAGCATTCACCAAATTCAACTTCAATAACAAAAACTTAAAGTGGACCAAGTAAACCAAGTCCTAACCAATATAAGCTGGGAAGATATACTAAGCAACACAGACCCCAACTTATGCCTAGGACAGATTAACTCTGTGGCACACGATGTATGCACAAGGCTTATTCCTCTAAGAAAAAGGAGTAGTAGATGTAAAATAGAAAGAGACAGGTGCTCCCTTTACAGGCGACAGAAAAGAATAACAGAGCGGCTAAAAGAGGTCAGTATATCTGAAATGCGAAGGGAGTCACTGGTCAGAGAAATAGCAAGCATCGAACTTAAGCTAAAGGAATCTTACAGGAGTCAGGAATCGCAGGAAGAACTAAAAGCCATAAATGAAATTGAAAGAAACCCAAAGTATTTCTTCTCCTATGCCAAATCAAAGTCGAGAACAACATCCAGTATTGGGCCCCAACTTAAACAAGATGGGTCCTACACAGATGACAGCAAGGAAATGAGTGAGCTACTCAAGTCCCAATATGACTGTTTTTAACAAGCTGCTAACCAGACTGAGAGTCGAAGATCAAAATGAATTTTTTATGAGAGAGCCACAGAATTTGGTTAACACAAGCCTATCTGATGTTATCCTGATGCCAAATGACTTCAAACAGGCAATAAATGACATGCCCATGCACTCTGCCCCAGGTCCAGACTCGTGGAACTCCGTGTTCATCAAGAATTGCAAGAAGCCCCTATCACGAGCTTTTACCATCCTATAGAGAGGGAGCATGAACACGGGGGTCTTCCCACAGTTACTAAAAACAACAGACATAGCCCTACTCCACAAAGGGGGCAGTAAAGCAATAGCAAAGAACTACAGACCGATAGCACTAACATCCCATATCATAAAAATCTTTGAAAGGGTGCTAAGAAGCAAGATCACCACCCATCTAGAAACCCATCAATTACACAACCCAGGGCAACATGGGTTTAGAACAGGTCGCTCCTGTCTGTCTCAACTATTGGATCACTACACAAGGTCCTAGATGCACTAGAAGACAAAAAGAATGCAGATGTAATATATACAGACTTTGCAAAAGCCTTCGACAAGTGTGACCATGGTGTAATAGTGCACAAAATGCATGCTAAAGGAATAACAGGAAAACTTGGTCGATGGATCTATAATTTCCTCAATAACAGAACACAGAGAGTAGTAGTCAACAGAGTAAAGTCCAAGGCAGCTACGGTGAAAAGCTCTGTTCCACAAGGCACAGTACTCGCTCCCATCTTGTTCCTCATCCTCATATCTGACATAGACAAGGATGTCAGCCACAGCACCGTGTCTTCCTTTGCAGATGACACCCGAATCTGCATGACAGTGTCTTCCATTTCAGACACTGCAAGGCTCCAGGCGGACATCAAACAAATCTTTCAGTGGGCTGCAGAAAACAATATGAAGTTCAACGATGAGAAATTTCAATTACTCAGATATGGTAAACACAAGGAAATTAAATCTTCATCAGAGTACAAAACAAATTCTGGCCACAAAATAGAGCGAAACACCAACATCAAAGACCTGGGAGTGATCATGTCAGAGGATCTCGCCTTCAAGTACCATAACATTGTATCAATCGCATCTGCTAGAAAAATGACAGGATGGATAATGAGAACCTTCAAAACTAGGGATGCCAAGCCCATGATGACACTCTTCAGGTCACTTGTTCTATCTGTGCTGGAATATTGCTGCACACTAACAGCACCTTTCAAGGCAGGTGAAATTGCTGACCTAGAAAATGTACAGAGAACCTTCACGGCCCCATAACGGAGATAAAACACCTTGATTACTGGGAGCGCTTGAGGTTCCTGAACCTGTATTCCCTGGAACGCAGGCAGGAGAGATACATGATTATATACACCTGGAAAATCCTAGAGAGACTAGTACTGAACTTGCACACGAAAATCACTCACTACGAAAGCAAAAGACTTGGCAGACGATGCAACATCCCCCCAGTGAAAAGCAGGGGTGTTACTAGCACGTTAAGAGACCATACAGTAAGTGTCAGGGGCCCGAGACTGTTCAGCTGCCTCCCAGCATACATAAGGGGGATTACCAATAGACCCCTGGCAGTCTTCAAGCTGACACTGGACAAGCACCTAAAGTCAGTACCTGGCCAGCCGGGCTGTGGCTCGTACGTTGGTTTGTGCAGCCAGCAGTAACAGCCTGGTTGATCAAGCTCTGATTCACCAGGAGGCCTGGTCACAGACCGATCCGTGGGGGCGTTGACCCCCGGAACTCTCTCCAGGTAAACACTACACATACAAGTACAAGCATATATATACACACCCCTCTGGGTTTTCTTCTATTTTCTTTCTAGTTCTTGTTTATTTCCTCTTATCTCCATGGGGAAGTGGAACAGAATTCTTTCTTCGTAAGCCGTGCGTGTTGTAAGAGGCGACTAAAATGCAGGGAGCAAGTGGTTAGTAACCCCTTCTCCTGTATAAATTACTAAATTTAAAAAGAGAAACTTTCGGTTTTCTTTTTGGGCCACCCTGCATTGGTGGGATATGGCCGGTTTATTGAAAAAAAAAATCTAAAGAATAAACTACAGAGCCAGCCAGTTATTTATCAACCTCTTAACTTGAATGGTAAATTTATCCTAGGTTAAATCTACATAATGTGCTTTCTGTGCTCATAATCTGTATGCCCTAAATTTCATTGTAAGAAAAAATTGTATCATATGCTCCAAAGCCTAAATAGTGTTTCTTAATTAATCAACTCTGAGGTTTTTTTTGTACACACATCATCTTCAATAGCCGGAGAATATCAGGTCTTTAGAATTTAACAAATTCATACATTGATGTTTCTTGTTACTGTCTCTTATTCAAAATGTTAAAATTGGTTTTCCTTTTAATACCTTCCAAATATTGTCTAGAGGATTTGATGAGGTTTGTTGTCTAAGCAAAACGTCATCTGCTAATAGATTTTCCACACTGATTTTGTGCCTCTTACTTGCATTATATCAATATATTATACCATGTATACTCAAGCATCATGCTGTTGAATTTGACTTGAGCATGACCACAAACTAAACTATTAGGTAGGTTTCAGCTGTGTTTGTTAGGGAGTGAATGTGTATTGGTTTAGTATGCTAGTTAACCCTTTCAGTCCGTCCCGTAGATCTAGCTTTACGTTCAGGGTCAAACGTAGATCTAGTCATGAGCTCAGCTCACTTGATAATGTGAGTGGTAAATTTGGCTAGATGGGAGTATAATCTATGTGGTAGGTGTGCATCACATAAACAAATTCCTGCAGCACACTGTGTATAAGGGAAAAGTGAGACGTGATTTCGATAAAGCGAATTGCAGCGTTTTTTCGTATGTTTTTTATAGTTGTATTTGTGATTCTGGTCATTTATAGATGGGAGACATATTACAGAAAGAGAAATTTTGATTGGTTTTAGCCTGGGCAATGGCATTGAAACTGAGTCAAGTGGCAGATTGTTAATATTTTTGCCGATGTTAGAGTAAAAAACGACTCACAGTTATAATCAGCGCAAGCTGGTGGGTCTAATATACACACAAATGTGGTGATGTATGGTACAATTATTCATATTGCATAACGTAATCTTCTATTTTTTGGTGTGAATAAAAATTCATTATGTGAATAAAAAATCAAAATGGAATTTATTTGTAAAGCCTCAAAACATAACTAATGAACAAAGGAAATGTTAGTTTAGTGCCAGGAATACCTACATTGTTTATTCTGGACCCTATTTTGAAATTGGAATATTTTGAACTTTGTGTTAAATTGGCCAAATTACCAATTTCCGGTCACTTTATTTTGTAGTTGAAACAGGTGACTTGGTGATTTCTTGTGCTCAATCGATAGAATAGAAGTAATACTAGTGAAATAGCTAAGAATTTGGTCGTCTGGAATAATGTAATCAGCCTAAAATGGGAGTCAAAGTCGGCAAAATCGCCGATTCGTAAATATCGCACACATCAAAATTCATGAGAGCATAATTTCGTAAATTTTCCATCAAATTTCGTACTTTTTGTTTTATTACATTCACAAAAAGATTCTCTACCATTTCATAAGAAAAAATTAACATTTTTTTTTTTTTTTTTGAAAATTCTTGGACACTGGGGCACCACTTCAGATTTTGGCCTTGGACCCTGAAAGGGTTAAGATACGGATAACCTGTTTGTGAAGTCATTTGGACTTGAGCTAGACAAGATGCATCAGTTTCTTGCATATATTGCTGTGTGTAATGGAAATACTCAAGCCTTGTTATGTGTAGTACTTATATTTTTATTAGAAATAGCAGGAGGAAAGTTTTTTTTCTCATTAATGTTGTGAATACAGTGAATGCTTTCTCACTGAATATACTCCTCTCTGTCTCTCTCATGTCAACAGTCTGAGATTGCTCGTCAGTTTGACCTCCCTGAGCGTCAAAGCAAACTCAACACCATGCTACGTGAAGAGGGGCTCAAAGACGAGCAGGTCTATTGTGTGTGCCGCACTTCAGATGTCACCAGATTCATGATGTATGTGCAGATAAGTGTCATAATTGCAGTTTTCATTTATAATTGTTCTGGTCTCCTTAATTTTTTAATCTTAAAAAGTTACAGTAAAGTTACTTGAACTTTTATGCTTAGAGGATATATTAAGCTGTAAAGATAGGCCAACTATCAGGTATTTATTTTATCATTGTTACTTGACAAGCGTACATCAGTCAATTAGTTTTTTATCTGGTGATATTTTATTCAGCTAGTAATATATTTTATAACTGTATTCAAATAAACACCTGTTTAGATCAGAAGATAAGGTTAGAGTGAATATACCATACATTGTTGTAATGTCGAAATTGGAGTTTTATTAATCTCTTTGTGTAAAGCTTTTATTAATGCACATTTATTACTAACTAGGATAATATTAGTCAGTGAGGCTTTCTATCCTAACAAGGGCAAGGATTACCTTACAAATTTTACATTCCCACTCATCTTTATTCTCTGCCTCTTTTCCCCTTCTTTGATTATTCTTTTCCTTTTTTTTTTCTTCTCTTTTCTTTTGCCTTCTTGATGTATACACTATCTGAATAAACTTACAGCCATTCATTCATTCTTGTTTATCTATGCAGTAGATGTTTTGTATATAGTACAGTAGTACTAGTTTCTTTGGATGATATTGTTTGACTTTTCCATTATAGTTAAAATTGTGTAAGCATGTTGGACCTCAAATACTGTTCCACACAATGTAACTATTCAGAGTAGATGATTAATGATTTTTTATGGTATAAACAGTCACAGCAGATGTACAATTGCTTATGCATTAATGCTTCTAAAATGAATTATAGGTCTTTAAACTCTTTGTGGACTATAACCTACAGATACCTTTTGAAGGACTGGCGATCATTTGTGGAGTGAAATATATGAGAAAATGGCATTATGTCAATTTTTTAACAAATACCAGAGTATATTCATTAGATTACAGAGGAAGTGTTCAGCTACTTTATATGAGAAGAGATAAAAAAGCTGTGATTTAACTGGCTTCAGAAATGCAAGACACATCCATAATTTGGAAAAAAATGGATACTGTCTGTTGTTTAACTATCCATTACTGCTTGATCACGAGAAAACACTCGTATCGATCCACCAGTCACTGACCAGCCACTCGCTCTTCCACCAGTCCATTAAATCCAGGGTTTACTGTACATACATCTAATGATTTAGTTAGACGTAGCAGTAAAAGAAATGTAAGTTTGTGGCTGGAGGCTTATGATTCAAGATTAGACGTGAGTTCAGGTACATTGATGGCATTAATAACCCTCTTCTGAATTACCTACTTAAAATATTTTGGTATAGGAGCTCTCTCACATAAGTAAATAGTGCTTAAAATAAACAAAAAATTAAAAATTTTGCAGTGTAAAGTATCTCTTAGTTATTTTTTCTTCTATAATTGAGAATTATGAGAGTTTCAGTAAAGACAAATGCCAAAAAAAAATGTGCTTCAGTGTTGTTAAACAGTATCTTATGTATATGGAAAACAAAATCAAATAACTATGCATTAAATATTAACAATGAATCTAAAAACCTTTACATATTGAAAGATGGATAAAGTGTGTTGTAATAACATTAATAAATTTTGTTTTATCAGCACTGTTTGGGTCTATTATATCAAAAGCAAAGCAACCTATAATAATGTCTTGTAGTAAATCTTAAGAGTAGTAATAATAGGAACTGTATTGCTAGACATGTATTACTGTCACCTACGTTTATTTGCAGTGGGTGCGACAAGTGTGAGGAATGGTACCATGGTGACTGTATTAATGTTACTGAAACTGAAGCAAACAAGATTAAAAAATTCTTTTGCCAGGTGAGTTGCCAATTGCAGTTTTTCATTATATTCTCATAACTAGTTCATCTAACTGATTTACAGTTTTGAATCTATTACTGTATCTACTCAAGTTGTATTGGGTAGTACAGTGAAACCTTCGTTGTCAAATTTAATTGGTTCCAGATGTCGATTTGACAACTAAAATGGACGACAACCAAAGCAATTTTTCCCATAAAGAATAATGTAAATAGAATTAATCAGTTCCAGCCCCCAATGACAATGTAGTCATAAAAAATGTACTAACTACGTACACTGTACTACGTAAGGCTGTAAAAATGAATACTAAAATGAACTTTAACTGAATTACTGTATAGTATATGAAAATTTAACGGCCTCTTGGCTGTCATAGGAGAACTAATAGCATACTGGAAGCAGGAGTTGGAGGAAAGGAGGGGGTATGATACTGCTTGGAAGAAGTCACCTTCTTTTAATATACCAGGCAACTGCCTTTTGATGTTTCTCTTCTTGTCTCTTTTTCACCACTAACACCTTGTTCTGGCTCACTGGTTGTTTGTTTCTCTAAAACCAGTCCAGTGAGGTTTATTTCAGGCTCCATTTTAACACTTGTCTAAATTGAGACCTACAGTCATTGTACATGTTAGAGAGAAGGATGGCCATGGCTTTGTCTGGATGGTATTTCTCAGCAAACTGCTGCACTTCACACCATTTAGCACACATTTTCTTGATGACAGCTCCTCTGCTGCAATCTGTTGCTGCTACTTCTGAAGGTCTACATGTTCTTCTGTGGTGAGTTCAGTTCTGTTCTCTACCAACTTCTCCACGTCATCTTCAATCGCCTCTAGGCCCAAGGTCTTCCCCAGGGACACACTATCTTCTAATGGCTCAGGCTCATCTTCAAATCCTTCAATATCTCTGCCTGTCACAAACTCAGGCCACAATTTCTTCCATGCTGATTGCATGGTCCTAGAAGACACATTCCCCCAGGCTGTCTATAAGCCTCAAGCAGGTGAGGGCATTGAAATGGTCCTTCCAGAACTCCCTGAGGGTTCAATTTGTTTCTAAAGTGATTTCAAAGCACCTTTCAAAAAGTGTTTTGGCATAGAGTTTTTTGACTTAGAATTGACCTGCTGGTCAGTGGGCTGGATGAGAGGTCTACAACCAAGAGAACATATGAAAATCAGGACATTTCTTCTCAAATTCCTTGTTCGAAAACTGATCTGTTCAACAAGTAGTGCAGTCGACAACCAAGGTTCCACTGTAGTGATTTTTTTTTTCGTATGGATTTACAGCAGTATATTCAAGCAGGACATTCAGATTTGGAAAGGATATAGGGAAGTACTTGTTTGGTAGTAGAGATGTAGATGAGTGGAACAAGCTGCAAGGTAGCATTGCTGGAGCGAGTTTAAGTTTAAATGTAGGTTGGACAGGAATATAAGAGGGTGTGGTTTGGTATTAGCTAGACCTCCTACCTGGCATGGGCCAATAGACCTACCGTAGTGCTGTTTCATTCTTGTATTCAGTTGGATTTATGCTGGTAGAACTTCAGTATTTAGTTAGCAAAATACTGTTCAGGTAATATACAAACTGTTTTACTTATAAGTTTATTAAAAAAAAAAAATACACTGGTGTGAGTTTCCACATTGCTGGTGTAATTTTAGAATGTACAGTATTTCATTTTGTAGTATAAACCATGAAACTTGATCTTCTGAAAATCAGGTTTGGTCACTGAAGTGTTTCATGATGCATGTATATTATACTAAAAAAAGTATTAGGAAATTATTTTTGGTTTAGAAACTTCATGAATATTCAGCTTTTTATTACAGTTTTTTTTTTTTTTTTTTTATACAATAGTCTGGTAGGGACAGTAAAGGTTACAGATATTTGATGTCTTTATTTGTGATAAATAAGGTGCTATTCTCAGTACAGTAAGTATAAACTCAACATCTTAGCTATGGAGAAAAATGTCTTAAAATATTTCTCCCTGTATAAAAATACACGTAATGAAAGGTAAAAAGCAATGATCTTTATTTATATCAGTATGGATAAATAATGGTTTAAAGCACTTTATAGTAAATTTAACATACAGACTTCTCCTTTACTATCATCAGCTCTAATAATATTAGAAGGTAGGGACTGTTAACTAATCATCTCATTGTGTATTTCTTGTAATGAAGAAATTGCCTTATTGTTTACAGAAGTGTAGGCTAAAGGAGCCTTCACTGGAAATAAAGTACAAACAAAAGAAACCACATCACCACAACCATACTGAGAACAAGCACCACAGAGACAAGGATAAGAAAGATAGGGAAAAAAAGGAAAAGGAGAAGAAAGATAAAGAAAGAAGAGACAAAGAAAGAAGAGATAAAGAAAAGCACAAGCAAGACAAACATTCAAGTAATTTATGTTTTGTTTATTCTTTTGTTGTGTTGATTGCTCAATGCTTCCATGTTTATAATGGAATTATTTACAAAATGTTATGAAATAAAGCTGCAAGAAATCGTTTTGTTCCAAATTTTTTTTTTTTTTTTTTCCAACAAGTCGGCCGTCTCTCACCGAGGCAGGGTGACCCAAAAAAGAAAGAAAATCCCCAAAAAGAAAATGCTTTCATCATCATTCAACACATTCACCACACTCACACATAATCACTGTTTTTGCAGAGGTGCTCAGAATACAACAGTTTAGAAGCATATACCTATAAAGATACACAACATATCCCTCCAAACTGCCAATATCCCAAACTCCTCCTTTAAAGTGCAGGCATTGTACTTCCCATTTCCAGGACTCAAGTCCGACTATATGAAAATAAACGGTTTCCTGAATCCCTTCACTAAATATTACCCTGCCACACTCCAACAGATCGTCAGGTCCAGTACATTCGTCTCCATTCACTCCTATCTAACCGCTCCGCACGCTTGCTGGAAGTCCAAGCCCCTTGCCACAAACCTCCTTTACCTCCTCCCTCCAACCCTTTCGAGGACGACCCTACCTCGCTTCCTTCCCCTATAGATTTATATGCTTCCATGTCATTCTACTTGATCCATATTCTCTAAATGACCAAACACTCAAAACCCCTCTCTGCCTCTGACTAATACTTTTATTAACTCCACACCTTTTCCTAATTTCCACAATCGAATTTTCTGCATATATTTACACCACACATTGCCTTAGACAGGACATCTCCACTGCCTCAACAGTCTCCTCGCTGCTGCATTTACCACCAAGCTTCACACCCATAAGAGTGTTGTACTACTATACTTTCATACATTCCCTTCTTTGCCTCCATAGATAACGTTTTTTTGACTCCACATATACCTCAATGCACCACTCACCTTTTTTTCCTCATCAATTCTATGATTAACCTCATCCTTCATAAATCCATCCGCCGACACGTCAACTCCCAAGTATCTGAAAACATTCACTTCTTCCATACTCCTCCTCCCCAATTTGATATCCAATTTTTCTTTATCTAAATATTTGATACCCTCATCACCTACTCTTTTCTATGTTCACTTTCAACTTTCTACCTTTACACATATTCCCAAACTCATCCACTAACCTTTGCAATTTTTCTTTAGAATCTCCCATAAGCACAGTATCATCAGCAAAAAGTAACTGTGTTTAATTCCATTTTGAATTTGATTCCCCAAAATTTTTAATCCCACCCTCTCCCGAACACCCTAGCATTACTTCTTTTAAAAACCCCATCTATAAATATATTAAACAACCATGGTGACATTACACATCCCTGTCTAAGACCTACTTTTACCGGGAAGTAGTCTCCCTCTCTTCTACACACCCTAACCTGAGCCTCACTATCCTCATAAAAACTCTTTACAGCATTTAGTAACTTACCACCTATTCCATATACTTGCAACATCTGCCACATTGCTCCCTATCCACTCTATCATATGCCTTTTCTAAATCCATAAATGCAATAAAAACTTCCCTACCTTTATCTAAATATTGTTCAAATATATGCTTCAATGTAAACACTTGATCTACACATCCCCTACCCACTCTGAAACCTCCTTGCTCATCCGCAATCCTACATTCTGTCTTGCCTCTAATTCTTTCAATTATAACCCTACCGTACATTTTTCCTGGTATACTCAATAAACTTATTCCTCTATAATTTTTACAGTCTCTTTTGTCCCCTTTCCCTTTATATAAAGGGACTATACATGCTCTCCGCCAATCCCTAGGTACCTTTCCTCTCTCTCATACATTTTCATACATTTTAACATTTCTGTCATGATCCCATCAGTTCCAGCTGCTTTACCCTCTTTCATTCTACGTAATGCCTCATGTACCTCCCCCACACTTACATTCTGCTCTTCTTCACTCCTAAAAGATGGTATACCTCCCTGACCAGTGCATGAAATTACCGCCTCCCTTTCTTCCTCAATATTTAAAAGTTCCTCAAAATATTCTTGCCATCTACCTAATACCTCCCTCTCCCTATCTACTAACTCCCCTACTCTGTTTTTAACTGACAAATCCATACTTTCACTAGGCTTTCTTAACTTGTTTAACTCACTCCAAAATTTTTTCTTATTTTCATTAAAATTTCTTGACAGTGCCTCTCCCACTCTATCATCTGCTCTCCTTTTGCACTCTCTCACCACTCTCTTTACCTTTCTTTTACTCTCCATATACTCTGCTCTTCTTATAACACTTCTACTTTGTAAAAACCTCTCATAAGCTAACTTTTTCTCTTTTATCACACCCTTTACTTCATCATTCCACCAATCACTCCTCTCGGTTCTAGAACAACATGCCACATAGGTAAAAAATGCTGTTGGCTGTTATTTTCTGTAAAAATATTTCTTTTACAAAAAATAATAGCCAATTTGCATGTAGTGCTTTCCAAATTAAGATTTTTTTTTTTTGTCATACCAGCCATATCCTACTGAGGCACGATGACTTAAAAAGAAAAACGAAAGTTTCTCTATTTAAATTTAGTAATGTATACAGGAGAAGGGGTTACTACCCCTTGCTCCCGACACACATGGCTGATGGAGGAAGAATTCTGTTCCACTTTCCCATGGAGATAAGACCATATTATAGTCACGAAAACATGCTAAATCCATGTGGGTCATTAAGCATAGCACCATTCTCAGAGCTAATGTATATCTTCCAACAAACTGGCTGTATGCCACCAAAGCAGGGTGGCCCAAAAAGAAAAACAAGTTTCTCTTTTTAACTTTAGTAATGCATACAGGGGAAGAGGTTACTAGCCCCTTGCTCCCAGCATTTTAGTTGCCTCTTATGACACGCATGGCTTATGGAGGAAGAATTCTGTTCCACTTCCCCATTGAGAACATCTGGAAGTTATAGGTGCAAAATAGTCAGGAAAGTATTTTATAAGAGGGGTTTGGGATATATTTGCTTTCTGGAGTGACATCTGAACTGTCATATGTGTGCCATTGCAAAGACAGTGATTGTGTGAATGATGGTGAAAGTGTCTTTCTTTTTTGGGTCGCCCTGCCTTGGTGGGAGGTGGCCAGCATGTTGAAAAAAAAAATGCCTAGACTTTAGTAAATTAAATTTTTGCAGCTTCAAAAAGTAAGAGCAGTAGCAGCCATCGGTGTGGTGAATGTGAGGCATGTTACCAGCAAGATGATTGTGGCCGTTGTGAGAACTGCAAAGACATGCCCAAGTTTGGGGGCCCCCACAAGCTGAGGCAGAAATGCAAAAAGAGGCAGTGCCAAAACTTTGTGAGTATCTTTTTGTTAATAAAAACCATAATGATTTAATGGGACTGACTGAGGGTAGTTTTGCCATATTAAAATTCCTAGAGAAGCTGAACATTAACAAATGTAAATTACAAATTGCATAACCATTAACACTAAAGATAAATTTATCATTAGAAGGATACCTTTGATATATCTTTGATGAGTTCCAAGAGTTTTTCTACTCCCCAAGCCTGGCCTTGGGCCAGGCTCATCTGGTGCTTGCCTGGTCAATCAGGCTGTTGTTGACTCTCATATCCATCACAGCCTTGTTGATCTTGCACCTGGTGAAGACATTTATCCAGTTTCCTCTTGAAGACTTGTACACTTGTCTGGTAAGATGTTAAATAGTCTGGGGTCAAGGACATTGATACAGTGTTCCCTTATTGTACCTATGGGGTTCCTGCTTTTCACTGGGTTTATTTTGCACATCCTCCCATATCTCTCTCCAGTATGCTGTTATGGCAGTATGCAGATTTAGGACTAGGTCCTCAAGTATTTTCCAAGTATATCTTTATGTATTTCTCTCTCCTCCATTCCAGTAAGTACATACGTATTTAGGACTGTAAATGATCTCTGTATCTGTTGCAGCTCTGATCTTTCTCCTGCCCTTAATGGGGCCGTGAACACTGAGCAATATTCCAAATGAGAGAGCATACTCTTTGGCATGAAACATAAACTGAGGAGAGGGTAAATAATTTTAATGTCTGGTGTAATGGGGAACCCATCACTTCAATTTCCTCAGTGAAATATCTGGGAATCCCCTTTGACCCATGCATGTTAGGAGAATTAATAGGGAACAGTGTAGCAAAGCAAGTAAATGCCAGAGTGAAGTTCCTCTACAGACAAGGACAGTATCTGCCTACCGAGGCTCGCAGGACCCTATATCTAGCTCTTATTCGTTGTCAGATGGACTACGCTTGCTCTTCTTTGTACTCTGCATTGACAAAAAACTTAAAGATAAACTACAAATCACCCAGAACAAAATGGTAAGATTCATCCTTGACTTAAGTTCAAGAGAGCATGTAGGTCAGGATTAATTACAACAATTGGATATGCTGAATTCTGAAGACAGAGTAAAACAACTGAAGTTAAATAAAGTTTATAAACTTGCTCACAAACATTGTTCAGAATATCTTGCTGCCAATTTTGTCAAGGTTAGGAACTAAAGCAGTCATAGTACTAGGGGGAGAGAGCACAACTTTGTAGTACCCATAGTCAGTGGCCAGGCTTCAAACACTTTTATTGTACAGCAATTAAGGAATGGAACAGACTGCCCGCACATATTAAAGCCAGTTATAGCATGAACCAGTTCAAGAAGAGAGCCGAAAGGTACGTAATGAATGTAGTGACAGAAGAGGAGAAGAATGATTTACATTTTTAGCTCGCACACATGTAAATATAAATAATTCAGTTTACCTTATTCCTAGTATATCTCCTTTATAGTATAATAATAAGATATTATCTCCTTTATAGGATAATAATAAGATATCTCCGTTGTAGTATAATAATAAGGTAATAAAAGGACCCTAATGGAAATAAGTCACTCTGACTTTTTGGGTTATCCTAGGTGCTCTACATATATGCTACTGTGTATAATAATCTAGGTATTTGTGTATACCTGAGTAAACTTACTAAACAATTTGAAAGGTGTCACCATTGTCACTATGTATTTCTCATGTTTTGAAAGTTCTCATTACTCATCCCGTCATCTTCCTGGTTGTTGTGACCTCCTCCTTATTGTGTTTTTTGAAAGGTCAGCCGATATAATTACGCCCTAGTCTTTTACATGTTCTTTTCATTCTGTTTGATGCTCCTCTTGAGTTTTGTATACAGTGACCCATTTGAGCTCTTCATTCTTTCAGTGTCTTCGTCCAAGGTGACTTTCATGCATATTTTTCCCCCCCCCCAAAATATTTTGAAATAATTTCTTTTTTTAAATGCACCAACTGTATCCCACTGAGGCAGGGTGACCTAAAAAGAAAAACCAAAGTTTTTGTTTTTAAATTTTAGAAAATTTATAAAAAGGGGGTTTCTAGCCCCCTTGTTCCGATTTTAGTACCTTTATGACGATGTCTTAAGAGGAAGAATTCTTTTGCCTTCCCCAAAGAGAAAGGGGAAATAAAGAAAAAGAACTGCAAAGAAAGTAGAAGAAAACCCAGAGTGTGTGTGTGTGTGTGCCCATGTACAGGGTTTGTGCACCGTGTTTTGGTCGTTGCATGCATGCATGCATTGTAGGTCACCTAAGTGGAAGGGAGTGCAAGATATCCTGTTATCCCAAGTTTTTTTGAGGGAAAAAAAGGCACCAGCAATCCACATCACAAAAACATTTGGGTTTTTCCGTTTCTAATCACCTGGCAGGACAGAGTGCCCCCTTTGGGGGTGGTTGTGTCTACCAACCTACTCCCTGTGAAATTAAATATTATGGAAATTTTAAAAACAAAAACAAGATGTGTTCCCTAAAATTCTATCCCTTTTTCTTAACACCCTTTTTTCCCCTTTTTCACTCCAGACTGGCTTCCGGGGAAGCAAGGTTTGCCGTTCTTCTCATTATCCCTTTCTGTGCGTGTTTCCAAGTCCCTCCCTTTAAATATTTCTTAAGATGTGGATCATAACATGTTTTTCATCATTGCCTATAGACCTGCCTCTTAAGCTGCTGGCACCAAGAGAGTTTAGAGGCTCTATCTTTTAAGTCGAACTGCTAAGCCAACAGTTGCTAAAGCTGCCTCACCTGTCATCTTGTTTCTCACTTTCTCAGCTGCTCAGTGACCCATATGTGTAAGCACATGAAAGATTTTCGGCTTTCAGGTAATATTTTTTGAAGGGATTCAAGAAACCCAGTCCTGGAGGTGGGAAGTACAGTGCCTGCACTCTAAAGGAGGGGTGTGGGATATTGACTGTTTAGAAGGACATCTAAACTGTCATATCTGCATGCCTCTGGCAAGACAGTGATAGTGTGAATGATGTTGAAAGTGTTTCTTTTTTGGGTCACCTTTGGATTTACAGTTGCAGTTCGAAGGGTCATTTAAATTATGTTTTTTATGTATTTCTGCCAAGACTGATAAAGAATGAATGATGGTGAATGTATTTTGTTGTCTTTGGGTCACCCTATCATGGGAAAAAATGGCCAGCCTGTTAAAACACACACAAAAAGTGCATTTTTCTGTAGTAAAAGTAGAAAAATTTTCATTACTCTTTAATTGGTTTTATATTCATTATTCCTTGTAGAATATATATCATAGATGCTACTGAATAAATTTAATGTACAAACTGTTTATATACATTTTTCAAGGTTCATCTTGCTCAAAAAAAGTCCAACAAAAATAGCAGCAGTAGTAGCATTAAGAAGCACAGAACCTATGAACCAGAGGAACCTCCAAACCCTCCACCGAAAGTCATTGAGACTATCAAGGAACCTGTGACAGTTCTCAAGGTTAAGAATGAATGCAGTGATGAAGATATGCTGGAGATAGCTAAGAAACTTAACAAGACCCGAAATTTTAGACTGCGACAAAGCCCCGGAAAGGGCCAAAATTACATAATCGAAAAATAAATTTATATTTCCATCAAATCGTACACTAAATAGATTAGTATTTACTAAGAATAAGTGATATTACATGGAAAAAATTGCAAAAAAACCGTGGGTGCCATTCCTCTGATGTTAATAATGTTCATCACAGGTTTTTTTTTTTTTTTTGCAACTACCCATTAAGTCTATTAGTGAAAAATGCTTAAATCAGCAGACCCATTCTGTAGTATTAAAGTTTAGTACACACATCACTAATGATTTCAAAAAAAAAGTATCCATTAGAACCCCACATGGGGTATTATCACAGTTAATATACTGGATCTTCAGTAGTATTTGTAAATCTTTCCCTTTGTTCTTAGTTCTATTTAGTTCTACCAATTTTTTTCTCCCCCCAACAAATCGGGTAGCAGATACAAGGGCCTTGTTAGACTTCTAAATTTTCCAAATTCCTGAAACCTTAAATAAAAAATAAAATTAATAACAAAATTCAAACATTTCACGATTGTTTTTCCCCCAAAATTTGAGCACATCACAAATGCACCACATGCCCTTTTCAGAATACACGCAGTTGATTAAAAAAAAATGAAAAACAAAATAGCATGGGGTGCAGGTGAGTCCGAAATTTTTTTCTAAGATTTGAGGGAGGGCCCCCCAATTTCTGAAGGATCTCCCACACTACATTGGATTTTGACTTTCCCCAGAGTGTTAATTTTTGATTGCTGGTTTTTTTTACTCTACTTCTTTTCATTGTAAAATAAGAATATTTTACTACTGTTGTACCATCATTTTTTTTTAAATTTTTTAACCAAAATGTTTCAATTGCAACAGAAGAAAAAACTAAAATAGGGGAAACAAAAAAAAAAAAAGGTCGGCATGAATCAGTTTGTTCAGATACTGATTCTAGGGAGGCTTCTCCGGGGACTCTACCACCCAAAACAATGCTTGGGCCTCGTGCATCAAGTAGCTCGGCCAACAGCAAAAACTGTAGTGACGATTGGGGATTTAAAGGGTGGCTGGGGCAAGGATATATTGGGTAAGAAAAAACAGATTGCTAAATTTAAATTCATTATAGGGTTTTCCAGTATTTTTTTCCCCCTTTTTATCATTTTCCTTGAATCTCTTTTTTTCCCTACTTTCTTATCATTTCCTTGTCATTTTCCCATATTTTTGTGTTTTTCTTGTATACAGCCCTCCTCCTTAAAAAGGGATTTCCCCTTTCCCCAAGACCACGTCAGAAAATGGGCATATATAATGGTAGTGGGTTGTCCCCAACCTTTGATACTGTTTTAAGTTCCTTTGCACCATTTAAAAATTTTTCGGGTATTTTTAAATGTTTATACAGCAGTGTACTGTATATTGTAATAAACACAATTGAGGAAATGAGCTCTAATATACATTATTTAGGTATGCATACTGGTCAGAGAGCCCATCGTAAGTCTGAGTCATCTGTAAACGACTAAGTTGCTAAGCGAGGAGAGGCTGTACTGTATTTTAATATAATAAATTATTGAAATATTCTTTAATAATCCATAAATCATGACAGTGCTATTCTATGAAGTGAAAATTCTGCTGTCCTTAGGCCTAGTAAGACCGGTAGACTAAATTTTACATATCGCCCAAAGCTATAATAATAATAATAATAATAATAATAAATATTGAAGAAGAAAGGGAGGCGGTAATTTCATGCACTGGCCAGGGAGGTATACCATCTTTTAGGAGTGAAGAAGAGCAGGATGCGAGTGTGGGGGAGGTGGGGGAGGCATTATGTAAATGAAAGGGGGTTTAAAAAACTGGAATCTCGGGGGTCATACAGAATGTTAAAGCAGGGGGACACACAGTGTTGGGGTGGTTGGTATTTTTTTTTTTAAAAAAATGTATGGCAGTTTGAGGGATATGTTGTGTATCTTTATATGTATATGCTTTCTAAACGTGTGTTCTGAGCACCTCTACAAAAAAAAGGGTAATGTTTATGTGGTGAAATGTTGATTGATATGAAAATATTTTTTTTTGGGGTTTTTTTTCTTTTTTGGTCACCCTGCCTCGGTGGAGAAAGGCCGACTTTTTGAAAGAAAAAAAAAAAAAAGAGAAAGAGGGGAAGGTACCTAGGGGTTGGGAGAGAGCATGTATACTCCTTTATATAAAGGGGAAGGGGAAAAAGGATTGTAAAAAAAAATAGAGGAATAATTTACTGATCAGAGTCCCTCATCTGCACGGAGTTGCTGAACAAACCCCAAATGAGGTAGTTGAATTCTATCAAAAAAGATCGAGAACCCAAAAACCCGTATTGTGGTTTTATAAAACCCCCAAAGCAACCCCACAACAGTCAAGGACGCTACGAAAATTGATTATGTTTTGGAAAACCTTCCAGCTCCATCCCAAACATCTTTCTGCTTGGGGATTTCCCGCCTAAGGGAACAAAATGGAAGAATGTAGCAAATAAATTTTTAAACTAAACAAACCCGGGGGTAGCGCAATGAAAGGTCACACACCGAATACTAAGTCCTGCGAAAAACACACCTTAAGCCCGCAGATAGGGAGCCAACAAGACTAGAAAAAAACCCCTTGACCTTACTTTACAAATAAAGAGGACCTGATAAAAACATAAAATATCAAAAAAAACAATTCCCCATCACAAACCCAAACGAAGTCCCCAAGTACATGCATAGGGGGCCTGATCAGAGAAGCATGTCCTGTAAAGGGGTCTTCACAAAAAACAACTTTAACAAAAAAAAACTAACTGGGACCAGGGAAACAAAACCAAAAAAAAAAAAGTTGGGGAAAATGTCTTAACCTTTCAGGGTCCAAGGCCCAAATCGGAGTCACGCACCAGGTCCAAGAATTTTCAAAAAAAAAAAATTTGTTATTTTTTTTTTTATGAAATCTTTGAATTTTTTTTTGAAGGGAAAAAAAACAAAAAGTACGAAAATTTTGGGGGAAAATTGAGAAATTATGCTCTCGCGAATTTTTTAAAAGTGTCAGCGATATTTACGAAACGGCGATTTTGCCCACTTGACTCCCCTTTTAGGCCCAATTACATTATTCCAATCAACCAAATTCTTAGCTTTTCACTAGTATTACTTCTTTCTATCGATTTAGCAAAGAAAACGCCAAGTCAATGTTTTAACTCAAATAAAGTGATCGGGAAAAATTTTTTTGGCCAATTTAACACAAAGTTCAAAATATTCCAATTTCAAAATGGGTCCAGATGAACAATGTAGGCATTCCTGGGACTAAAACTAACATTTCCTCTGTTCATTAGTTATGTTTTGAGGCTTTACAAATAAATTCCATTTTGATTTTTTATTCACATAATGAATTTTTATTCACACCAAAAATAGAAGATTTACTGTTATGCAATACTGTTAATAATTGTATAAATATCTCACCCCTATTTGTGAATGTATATTAGACCCACCAGCTGACGTGTATTAGACGTGTGAGGTCGTTTGTTTACTCTTGAATTCGGCAAAAATTTAACATTTCTGCTACTTTGAGCTCAGTTTCAAGCCATTTCCAGTGCTAAAACCAATCAAAATCATCTCTATTTCTGTAATATGTCTTCCATTCTATCAAATGAGACCAAAAAATCGCAAATACAACTATAAAAAACATAACGAAAAAACCACTGCAAAGTTGCTGTTTTTAATCGAAAAATCATGAATTCATTTTTTTTCTCTCATTATACACAGTGTGCTGCAGGATCTGTTTTATGTGGTGCACACATACCACATAGATGTATTCTCTCATATCTAGGCCCAAATGTACCACTCACAGTTTATCAGAGTGAGCTGAGCTCATGGCGTAGATCTACGGTTTGGACCCTGAACGTAAAGCCGTAGATCTACGGGACGGACCCTGAAAGGGTTAAATGACATGGATCCAAACCAGTACCTTGAAAGGATCAACTTCCTGGCAGCCGAAGCATGTTCTAGGCATATTCCCCTAAGAAAGAAGAAGAGCAGGAGTAAACTGGAGAGAGAAAGACGCTCCTCTACAGAAGACGACAAAGAGTAACAGAGCTCCTCAGGAGTGCTAGAATATCTGATACACGAAAGGAGGCGCTGACCAGGGAAGTGGAAACTATCGAACTTAAGTTAAATGACTCTTACAGGAACCAGGAGAGACAGGAGGAGCTTAAAGCTATTAGTGAAATTGAAAGAATTCAAAAAATTTCTTTCATATGCCAAAAACAAGGCAAATACCACATCTAGTATCAGGCCCTTACTCAGACAGGATGGGACTTACACAGATGACAACAAGGAAATGAGTAAAATATTGAAATTCCCAGTACGACTCTGTGTTTAGTGAACCACTAATCAGTCTGAGGATCGACGACCCAATGATTTCTTCATGAATGAGCCTCAAAACTCCATAAATGTATGCCAGATTTCCGACATTACCCTAACTCCGATAGATTTCGAAAAAGCCATTGACAACATGCCCATGACTCAGCCCCGGGGCCCAGACTCGTGGAACTCTGTTTTCATTAAGAACTGCAAGAAACCCCTCTCGCGTGCCCTAAGTACACTATGGAGGAGGAACTTGGACATGGGTGAAATTCCACAGTCACTTAAAACAACGGGTATAGCCCCACTCCATAAAGGTGGCAGCAAAGCATTAGCTAAGAACTATAGACCAATAGCTCTGACGTCCCACATCATAAAAATCTTTGAAAGAGTGCTAAGAAGCAGGATTGCAAATCACCTGGATTCCCAAAATCTGCACAATCCAGGGCAACATGGGTTCAGGGCAGGTCGCTCCTGCCTCTCACAACTACTGGATCACTATGATATGGCCTTGGATGCACTGGAAGAAAATCAGAATGCAGATGTAATATACACAGACTTTGCAAAAGCATTTGACAAATGCGATCATGGTGTAATAGCCCATAAAATACGTGCTAAAGGAATAACTGGGAAAGTGGGGAGATGGATCTTCAACTTCCTAACAAATCGAACACAAAGACTAGTGGTCAACTGAGTTAAATCGGAGGCTGCCATAGTGAAGAGCTCTGTTCCACAAGGCACAGTACTCGCCCCCATCTTATTCCTTATCCTCATATCAGACATAGACAGAGATACATATCACAGCACCGTATCATCCTTTGCGGATGATACTAGGATCTGCATGAGGCTGTCATCTGCTGAGGACGCAGTTAACCTCCAAGAAGATATAAACAAAGTTTTCCAGTGGGCAACGGTAAACAATATGATGTTCAATGAGGACAAATTCCAACTACTCCGTTATGGAAAACTGGAGGAGATAATAACTAGAACAGAGTATACTAGACTCTGGCCATACAGTAGAGCGGAAAAATAATATAAGGGACCTGGGAGTAGTAATGTCTGAGGATCTCACTTTCAAGGATCACAACAGTGCCACAATTGCATGTGCAAAGAAAATGATAGGATGGATAATGAGAACGTTCAAAACGAGAGATGCCAAGCCAATGATGATCCTTTTCAAATCACTTGTTCTCTCTAGGCTGGAATACTGCTGTACATTAACATCTCCATTCAAAGCAGGTGAAATCACAGATCTAGAGAGTGTACAGAGATCCTTTACTGCACGCATAAGTTCTGTCAAGTACCTTAACTACTGGGAACGCTTGGAAGCACTTGACTTGTACTCATTGGAACGCAGGAGGGAGAGATATATCATAATCTACACTTGGAAAATCTTGGAAGGAATGGTCCCAAATCTGCACACAGAAATCACTCCCTACGAAAGTAAAAGACTGGGCAGGCGATGCAAAATGCCCTCAATAAAAAGTAGGGGCGCCATTGGTACACTAAGGGAAAACACCATAAGTGTCCGGGGCCCAAGACTGTTCAATAGCCTCCCATCAAGCATTAGGGGAATTGCCAATAAACCCCTGGCTGCCTTCAAGAGAGAGCTGGACAGATACCTAAAGTCAGTGCCGGATCAGCCGGGCTGTGTCTCGTATGTTGGACTGTGTGCGGCCAGCAGTAACAGCCTAGTTGATCAGGCCCTGATCCATCGGGAGGCCTGGTCGTGGGCTGGGCCGCGGGGGCGTTGATCCCCGGAATAACCTCCAGGTAACCTCCAGGAGTATACCAGGAAAAGTGTACGGTAGGGTTATTATTGAAAGAATTAAGAGGTAAGACAGAATGTAGAATTGCGTATGAGCAAGGAGATTTTAGAGTGGGTAGGGGATGTGTAGATCAAGTGTTTACATTGAAGCATACATGTGAGCAGTGTATTTAGATAAAGGTAGGGAAGTTTTTATTGCATTTATGGATTTAGAAAATGCATATGATAGTGGATAGGGGAGCAGTGTGGCAGATGTTGCAGTTATGGAATAGGTGGTAAGTTACTAAATGCTTTAAAGAGTTTTTATGAGGATAGTGAGGCTCGGGTTAGGGTGTGTAGAAGAGAGGGAGACTACTTCCTGGTAAAAGTAGGTCTTAGACAGGGATGTGTAATGTCACCATGGTTGTTTAATATATTTATAGATGAGGTTGTAAGAGAAGTAAATGCTAGGGTGTTCAGGGGAGGGGTGGGATTAAATTATAGGGAATCAAATACAAAATGGGAATTGACACAGTTGTTTTTGCTGATGG